ACAGTGATATATGTGCACTCGTGTTTATAGCAGCACAATTTGTAATAGCTAAATCTTGGAAACAACCAAAACACCCATCAACTGCAGAACAGATGAAAAAGATGTGGTATTTTTATACAATGGTATATTACTCAGCTATAAAAAAGGATGGTCTTGAGGCCTTGATAGGTAAGTGGAGGAAACTTGAGACTATCCTCATAAGTAAAATAAATAAGATTCACATTTATAAGTATCACATTGTCTCTCTAATGTAAAAAAATAAGAATTGAAAGAGTAATAATTTCTAAAATACACAATAGATATTGTAAAAATGAAAGGCAAAGAAAGAGCTCTAAAGTATATAACTGCATGTATGTTTAAATGTATAAGATAGATGACCATGTTACTAAGTTTCCACTAGATCATTGAACAGAATGGTTTGCATTGTCAATGTTTGTGTGTCTGTCCACTTTTTGTGCTTTGATTTTATAACTTAACTATTTCTAAAAGGACGATGTGTAACTTATGGGGCTGGGGAGATAGCTCAGTGGTATAAGGGCTTGGCTAGCAAGCACAGGGTCCTGAGTTTGATCCCTGGTACAAAAAAAAAATGTAACTTATCAACTAGTAACTTCTTAGTGTTAATATTTTTCTTTGAAATTCTGTATTACTTCTACCCTTTTTTCTATTTTGTCTTGTTTTTCCTTCTTTTTTCTTTAAAGAAAAAAATAATGGCATTTGTATCCCCAAATTCTCCAAAGTCATCACTTGGTTCACTGAAATGTGGAAAGTGCTCTAACCACTCTTCAAAAGTGAATCCCTTACTGAACCCTGAGGTAATGAGGGTGGAGTGGTGTCCCTGGCTGTGCCAAAATCACCAAAATCACTTATAAAGTCATTACTACTATCACCATTTTTTACACTTACAGAATCATCCAAAACATTTTCTTCTGTGGGATCAGTGCTTAGGCTTTGGGAGTTAGTAAACATTCTTTGGAAAAGCAAATTTCATCAGCATCACAAGTTTTAATAGAATCCATCAGCACATTTAGCAGAAAATAAATCAAGTTTTACATTGTTCTCTCCTAATGGCTTCTGACTGATCGGTTGGGTCTACCAAACTCCACCACACTGACTGCAGGGTTGGAAGGTCTTCCTTTACACCACTGAAACCTCTGTTAGACACTATGCTTATTTCTAAAACACAAACCTGATTCTCTCCATCAGGAACTCCTTTTTTATCAAAATGTCTACCCAAAGACACTCTTTATAGAATTCACTTTATTGGCTGTTTTCCTAAATAGTTGGTGCATCTGTATCATTTTAAATTACACCTATTTTTTCTAGTTGAATCCTTCCTTTTTTGGAAAATGTGGCAAAATCTGCAAATTCTTTAACAGGGCTAAATTGTACTCAGTGCAATGAGTGCTTAGTGGTTTCTGTCCCTTTGGATCAGCTACATTGTCCAGATCAACTGTTCCCTGAGAATTTACAGTGTCCAAGCCTACAAACTCATTTGTTAAAACCTCTGGACCAGGAGGCTTTTCACCATGGCAGGTCTCTCTCTAACTGCTTGCTTTGATGAATAATGTTCATATTAGTTCTAAAATCTCCCAGAGAAAAACTTCAGGTGTTCCAATATTCTTTCTCTGTGCCACTACTTTATTTAAATCTCCTAGACTTTCCATGCCATCAATGGAACTATCTAAAGTTTTAGATGAAATTATTTCTTTGCTGGTGATAGAAAGTAAAACACCAGACTGTCCTTTCACAGGAGTAGGAAGTTCAGCAGTGATGTCCTGATCGTTAAGGACTTAAAGCTTGTAAGGCTATCTACATTTTCTGAGGAATCCTGAATTGGCATAAAATGATTTGAAGGTACAAAGGCTTCCTTGGGACTTATTCAGGTGTACCAAAATCGACAAACCCTATATCAGAAGGATTAAACTTCTGAAAATCCAGCAAATTCCCTAAACTCTTCATTAGCATTATGCTCTGCTCCATTACCTACTGGTGATAGAAGTGCAGAGATTTGAATTATGCCTGGCTCTATTTTTCAGTTGCTTTCAGGTAATTAATTTACACCTGGCTTGTCCTGGGCGACCATGCAGGGCATGGCTCAGGGGCCCAGGCCGGGAACTGGCTTCCCAGGGAAGGACTGGCTGTTGGGAGGTGATGAGACCCAAAGGCTGGCTGCTCCCAGCCCTGTTGGCGCAGGAGTGCCATGGTAGCCCACCCAGAATTTCAGCATTGCTGCAGGATAGACCCCCACCATTGCTGCCCCCCTAAATCAGTGGTTTATCAACTCAGACTACACATCAGAAATACCTGGGGAAATTTTAAACTTTTCAATGCCCAAGCCACATTCTGAACCCATTAAATCAGCATCTGAGAGCCAGAAAACAGTAGACATTTTTAAGCAACTGAAGTAACTCCAACGTGCTGCCAAGTTTCAGAACCACTAGTCTAGAAATAAGAGATAAGAATTATAGTATTACTGAGGACAGGTCCTTTTGGTGACCTGCAATCCTGGCACACACACAAATCCCCTCCCGGTGGGGGAAAAAAGAGCCAAACCAATGCCATCAGCCTTTCCCTGTGCCCGCCACCCCCACAGGTTTATGCTCCAGAAGATGATTCTCAGAGTGTGGTCTTTAGACCAGTACCATCAGCCTCAGGGGGAAACTATTAAAAATGCAAACTTTCCAGCTGCATCCCAGAGCTAAGCCAGAAACTCTGGAAGAGGGGCCTGGCAACCGAGGCATGCTAATGTCTAGGAACCATTGCTCTGAGGATGACTTCTCCCAGAGCTGCTGCAAAGCAAGCACTGGGTGTGGCTCTGACTGTGGCTCTGACTGTACAGAGGGCTTGCAGAGGACCTGGGAGTCACTGCTTAGTCATGGGCACAGAGGAGCCAGGCTAGGAGGCATCACCTTGGTGATCACCACCACACAGTGCTCCATGGCCTAGAATGGAAGGTGACAGGGGCTAAGAGCTCAGCTGTTTTTATGCTATCAAGAAAAGGTTTTAGGGTTCAAGGCATGAGGATTTGTTTTTTTTTTTTTTTTTTTTTTGTATTTTTACCGGTACCAGGGATTGAACTCACGACCACAGGTTTGCAAGGCAGGTGCTTACGCCACTGAGCTAAATCCCCAGCCCCTTGGTTTATCTTATAAAAGAAAGTAGACTCATGAAAGCAAACTTTGAAGGTATTTTAGAGAGGACCAGACAATCTAGGATATCAGAAGGGACATTTATACCATATGCACTTTTCCTTGGGAAGGGTAGGTGTAGGTGTTGGGGGGACGGAGTCTTTACACAGAGAAGGACACAGCCAGCTCACTGCACTGTCCATCCTCTCCTGCCAGGCTGCAGTCACTCCGGGAGGAGAAGAATCAGTGAAAGAAGCAACAAACTGAATGAGTTTCCCATAAAGAAGTAAATATTGCCTTTCCACGTAAGACTGTGCAGGCATAAAGGAATCATACCCGCATGTAGGCACTGCTGCAGGCCTAATCCTGGAGGTGTTTTGCCCTTGAGAAGTAACTAGTGACCTTCTTGCTGCTGGCCACTTCCAGATTCCCACCCCATGCACTTGAGGCTTCAGTCAGCTCCACACTTAATGATCGTGAAGAACACTAAGTTGTTTCTGTGCCACACAATCAGACAGAGAAAGTTCTTCGAGGGTGTTGCCACTTCCTTTCAGCTCAATTACTCTGAACTGATGTACTGGACCTGTTTTATTTTTGTTTTCCTGCTTTAATAAATTAAAGGGAAAAAAATTCCCAGGTCTGTAAAAACTGATTTGACTGTGTGTGTAGCGCCACCTGGTGTCAGTAGATTATCAACACAGTTTCCTTCCTTGTTCTCTCCAGTGTTTATGTCTGGAGCTTCCAGACAGGTAGACATTGTGTTCAGGCAGGGTCAGCTCTCTCGTGGGAATTCCAGCCACAATGACGATCTGCACTGACTGAAAGTCTCCATTGTTGTCACAGGCATAAGACACAAGTAATATGAACAGGAAATAGAGTTTTCTCTTAAGTAACCAAGCACTTAAATTCTAAAGCATGCATTTCTCCAATTGACAAAAGGAAGCAAACAAGAAATTCTGACTATATTTATAAACCATCACAATGTTATGGGATACTTTCTTCCTTACTTATTATTTTTGGGGCCCTTATGTATAGGAGACTTGAGATGCCCTTGACATTATAGCATCTTGGATTCCAAGTTTCCAAAGCAACAGATTGATAGAAATGGACAATGTGGGTGGCCGGGGGAGGTAGTCTAGGAGCCAACGCCTGAGTGGTGAGTGTGCTGATGACCAGTGGTACAGGAGGGAGTTCCACTGTAGTTGCTGCCCCTAATGAGTCAAGGTCAGAGTGAGATCTTGAACAAGTTACTGTCTGGATCTTGTCCCAGCCTTCTTCACTATTTGCCCCATTTAAGCCACGTTTTTTTGTTGTTGCTGTTGTTGTTGTTTTTGTTTTTTTTTTAAGAGCCTGTTTTCTTTCTTTGTTTGTTTGTTTTTTTCCCCCAGTACCAGGGCTCAAACTCACGACCTCACACTTGTCAGGGAGGCCCTTATGCCACTGAACTAAATCCCCGGCCCAAAGAGCCTCTCTTTTAACACATGTCTCTAAAACAGTGAGTGATGGGTTTTCTACCTTTTGTAATCAGATGTGTAAATGTCAGACAAGCCTTCTGAGCATGGGGAGGCAACCAGCATTTCCACATCATGGACAAAGCAGGCATACTGAGCACCTTCTTAACCTGACCCAAGGACTATGGCAAAAGTACACAGGTGATGCCTCTGAGACTTTTAACCTGTGGAAAGCAACTCACAGACCCAAGTCTTGGAGAACCAACACACTAGAAAATTTGGAGGGTAACTCAAGCTCTTAGAAACAACATCAGAGAAAGATGGAAATTTGGGGCATGGAGTACAGGGGTAGGAACCTCAATTTTTTTTAATTTTATTTAAGGAGAAAAAGGAAAAAAAGCAGAAAAAGGGTACAAGATATACAGAATTTCAGAAAAAAAATAAACAGTAGGAAATCACTAGTTAATGGATTACATATTGTCATCTTAGAAATATTTGTTCAAGTTACAAAATTAAAGCATATAAAGTGGACATTCAAACAGTGAGACTGCAAACAGTTCTGTTCAATGATCGAACAAAACTCATTAATATCATTGTCTATCTTATACACTTAAATATACATGCAGTTATATCGTTTAGAGCACTTTCTTTTCCTCTCTTTTGTACAATGACTATTACACATTTTGGGTTTTATTGCTCCCACAGTTCTTATTACTTTGTTTGGAAGAGAGTAAAACCAAATGTGACATAACAGAACAGAGTCGGTCAAATCAAAAGGGTGGACATAATAGATAATGTAAAAACATAATACAAGGTGATCAACAATGGTTACCATAATGCCTCCTGCTATCTCCAATAGAATTGCCTATATCATCAGTTATAATAAAATTGAACAAAACAGTAAAGAACAAAACCAACAGAACCAAAACATTGGAGACATTACAGGTCTTCAAAAGTAGATAATAGTCAACCAGAATGGGCGTCCAAATGAATCCGACTATCTTCACAGCTGTTGCCTAAACTTTCGAACTGGTACTATCAAGCAAAACAGAATAGAGGAACATCAGTCAAAACAAGATGGTGAGAGCAATACAGGGTTCAAATCAAGTTAATAGAAAATCAAAGTGGGTTACTATAATATATCCTGCTTTTTTATTTATTTTTCCCTTAATTAAAAGGAAAAAATAAAAAAGTAAATAATAAAATGGAGATTGACATAAAAGAGGGCATAACAACAAAACAGCGCAGATCAAAACATAACCATTTAAGCAAAATAGTGTTTCACCACAAGATAATCCCGACATAAAAGTAGTTACCATATTGTCTCTTTCCTTGAAATCTTTGAGTATAACTTCGTATACTGTAGCATCAAATATATCAAAACAATGTAAAACCATTCAAGAGAATGACAGTATTACAGGATATTTAGAATCAACTAACAGAAAATGAACAATGGTTTCTGTATAATCTCCTGGTCTATAAAAGTTTTTGTTTATACTATCACATATAATAAAATCCAATAAGATACAACATGTTAAGACCTATGGAGACAGAACAACAAAAGCTTGATGGGACTTCAAAACAAGATGATATTAAATCAGGATTACGTATTATGACATCATTTTCTCCAAAATAGCTGTTCCTATCATCCAATCTTCTCTGCCTCATTTCTGCTGAGCTCTTTTTCTGTCATTTATTGTCAGTTTGTCTTCTTCATTGCGTTTTCTGCTCCATTTATTGTGGCCTCTCTGCCACTATTTCTGGATTCTTCGTATTTTTCTTTTTTAGAATATCCTGCAGTATTCTCTGTAGGGTTGAATTGGTGGTTGCATATTCCCCTAGTTCCTCTTTATCCTGGAAGCACCTTGTTTTTCCATCAATTACCAGGGATATATCAATCTTGGCTGGAGGTTATTATCTTTCAAAGCTTGAATTATTTCCCCCCATGCTCTTCGTGATTTGATGGTTTGCGCCGAGAAGTCTGCTGTAATTCTGAAGGGTGTTCCCTTGTAAGTGATCTGTTTCTTGTCTCTAACAGCTTTTAATATTCTGTTCTTATATGGGATTTCTGGAATTTTGATTATTATATGCCTGGGTGTAGGTTGTAGGTGGCTGGGGTCCTGTATGCTTTAAACATCTGAATATCTTTACCTTTTGCTAAATTAGGAAAATTCTCCTGGATTATTTCTGCAAGTAGCTTTTGTAGCTCATTTGTTTGTGTCCCTACCTCTTCTTTTATGTTCTTTATTCTTAAGTTATAGATCCTCTTATCATCTTCTAGTCTTTGTATTATTGCTGTTTGTTTCTTTGTTATTTTTAAGAAGTTTTTGACTTCATGCTCCCATATTACAAATCTGCCCTCCAGTTCAGATAATCTATCCATAGTTTCTTTCAAGCTGTTATGCCAGTTTTCGATAGTTTTTAGTTTCCTGGTAATCTCTTTGAATCTGCTTCACGTATTCTATGTTTTCTCTATTTTCTCTATCAAACAATTCTGCCCTTTTTTTCTGTTCTTCCATTCCACCATCTTTTTTTCCTTGGGTAGTGCTTAGCATTTCTCTAACTATTCTGCCTATGTCTTGCTTCAGGTCATTAATAACTTCATTCCTGAACTCATCTATGAAGCTCTGGAGATAGCGCTTTATGTCTATTGGTGCTGTGTGTGCTATTGCCTGTTTCTCAGGATTGGGGGCCAAGGAGCCTTATCTTATTGCTCCCTCTTCTCATATTCTTTGTTCCTTAAATACAAGCGTATATAGGAGGCCCACTTCCTTCCCTGTCAGCCACAGTCTGTTTGAATTGTGCCAGCTAGGTGTTCCCGCCCACCACAGCACACCAGGGAGTTAACGGACCTGACCCGCCCCTCCAGTTCAACCTACCGAAGGCTTCACTGCTAGGGTGTACCTCCAGGCACTGGGACCTGGGTTGTGCTAGCCTACTGGGTCTCAGCCAACAGTGTCATGTAACCTAGGCACTGCTCACCAATCCCACTTGAGAGGGGGATACATGACTGAAATCACTACAGCACCCTGTTCTGGCAAGTCTGCCCGGTCCCAGAATGTCCTCTGTTGGAGCCTCCTAGACCGTGGAAGAGTCCCAGTTTCCCTCACTCACCGCAGGTTGATGCACAGCTCCCTGCCCGTCCCACTCTCAACTCCGTTTACCGATTCCTGTTCTCAGAGCTTTTGTGTGTCTCTCTCCCTGCCGAGCCAATTCAGACACAGCAGTGGCGGCAGGAAACCCAAATCACATCTTCCAATGGTGCAGGCTCGAGCTTCCACGCTGAGGCTTTATCTGTTCCTGTTATAGCACCAGGATTGCATTCCCAGTTGGTTTCTCTCAGCCCAGTTCGTTTTGGGTCAGCAGGGTATATCTCCTCTTGCTTAGGATTCCTCACTCCGCACCATTCCTGAATTCTAAGCTGGGTCTCTCAGCCTTGGTAGCTGCTGCTATCTGTCTGCCATGTTCTCCCGGAAGTCAGTTGCTCATATTTCTAACTAACTCAGCTGCAGTTGATGCCATGACACCAGAAGAGACCCAGGAACCTCAATTTAAAGACAGCATTACAAGAAATAAGTACTTAAGAAATGATCTGTAACATTTTTCTATTATTGTATAGATTTGTTGTGTATAATATGACACTTTGAAATACATATGGGGGCTCAGTGAAGCTAATTAACACCTCAGCGCCTCATATGCCTTTTTTTTTTTTTTTTTTTGTGGTAAGAACACTTAAAATCTACTGTCTCAGCAACCTTCAGGAATACATTCCCATTACATTGCCACCATGTTGTACCATAGATCTTTTGAACTTATTCCTCTTGTCTAACTGAAATTTTGTGTGTTTTGACCAACTTCTTCCTAACCCCCTCTGCCTCTAGAGACTATTCTTCTTCTTCTTCACCTCTGTGAGATAAACTTTTTTCGATTCCATGTATGAATGAGAACATGCAGTATCAGTCTTTCGGTGTTTGGCTTATTTCACCTGATATAAAATCCTTCAAGTTCATCCATGTTACTGCAAATGGCAAGATTTCACTCTTTAAGGCTAAATATTATTCCACTTTTTAAATATATCTACCTTTAATAGATACTTGGGTTGTTTATATTTCTTGGCAGTTGTGGATAGAGGCCAGAAAGAGTATGGACAGGGTGGGTTAGGGAGAAAAAAAGTTCAAGATATCTATGGTACAATAAACACGGGGTGCAATTCTCTCTTTGACATAATAATTGTCTCTCCTTTGGTTATATCATCAAAAGTGATATTGCTAGATCATATGGTAGTTTTATTTTTAGTTTCCTGAAGAAACTCCATACTGTCTCCTGAAATGCCTGTCCTAATTTACCCTGCCAAGAATACTGTACAAACGCTACCTTTTCTTCAGGTATCCAGTAATACTTATTGTCCTTTATCATTTGATAAGAATCATTCTAAGAGATGTGAGGTAGTATCTCATTACAGTTTTGTTTGTATTTCTCTGTTGACTAGTGCAGGAGTTATAAATACACAATTCTTGCTAATCCTTATAATAACCCTTAAAGTGCCATGCAGGTAATGAAGCAGGCAGAGAGAATTTAAGGAAATTCCTACACCTTAAAGCTGGATCAGAACCAGGCCCCACACAATTTCAGACCATGTAATCTTTCAAAATAACTTAACTTTGAAGCTAAAATATGGCAATTTCCAAATACAAACCAATAACCCAAAGTAGAACCACTTTGTTGAATGAGTAACTTGGATTTTACCATGTTTCTACAAGTTTCTATCTTCTTAAAATCTAAAACTTTTTTAGTATTTATGGACAAATATTTTGAATGTCTACACGATGTTAATTCTTTTTTTTTTACACATTATTTTGTTGTAGTAAAGCCAATTTCCTGACCTCTGGCACATTCATCGAAAGACAGACTATTAAGACCTTCCATTCCCTATCCTAGTGGTTTTTAGTAACTTGCATTGTGGTTTGAATGTATATTTCCCTCCAAATTCATATGTTATAATTTAAGCCCCAAAGCTATACTATGGATGAGCCTTTGGAAGATGATTAGGTAATGAAAGCTCTATCCTCATGCGTGGGATTCATTCCTTTATACAACGGTGAAAAGACAATCAGCTAGGTCTTTTGCCCCATTTATCTCTTCTGCTGTATAGGAACACAGTATTCATTCCTTTCCCCTTTTCTGCGTTTTTCACCATGTAAAGACACCAGAAGAAAATGCCATCCACAGGAAGACCCTTTAATACATCCCACCAGAGTCAGGTACCCAGAGGCCATGAAATGATGCCCAAGTAGTGAGGATAAACTAAATGACTAAGAATATAGGCATTTGAGAAAGGGTTGCAGGCAGTAACAAGAGGATCTGTGGCAGAGCAGTGATCAAGGACTCACTGGGCTGTGCAAGGCCAATTTTCAACAGTGAGACTTCAGAGTCACTGGTGCCCCCAGCCTCTCCAATTCTTTGCCTGGTCTTGGGGTACCAGAGCAACTTCCTTACACTGACTAAATCCCAGGTACAGATTGTGTGAGGAGCCTGGATTTCCTTCTCCCATAGGCGGTCAAGAACTTTTCCTTACTGGGATGGTATCAAAGGAGGAATCAAAAAGAGTCAAGGTTTTCACCATCACGCAGTGGTTATAGGCCACTCATTATAAGTCTGAAAAGATCCAAGAACCAATTGGACTCTAACAAGAAAACCTATCATTTGTGTCATCAGAATCCCAGAAGGATAGAAAGCATAGCTGGAAAAGTATTCCTGCAGAGATAATGCTTGAAAAACTTTCCAAATTTACCAACAGACATAAACTCATCATCTCAAACAGTGATTAAAACCAAAGAAATCCACATCAAGACCTTCACAGTCAAATTCCTGAAAACTCAGACAAAAATATCTTGAAACCAATGAGAGAAATGGGTTGTTTTAGCTTTCTCATTGCTGGACATAGTAAGTGAAACAACTTATAGGAAGAAGGGCTTAGTTTGGCTCACATTTTAAGGGGAGTCAGTCTATGGTGACCACCCGCTCCAAGGCAGAAACATCACGGTGGAAGGTTGTTCAGTGCATGGCATCTGGGAAGCAGAGCAGAGCAACAGTGTCAGAGAGGAAGGGGACCAGACATAATCCCTAAGGCCACACCTCCACGACCCACACAGACACAAGCAGAAGTGTGTTCCACCAGTCCCTGGAGAACACAGTTCCAAAGCTGATTAAGTTAGGGCTCCGTTACAACCTCCACAAAAATATATTATGTAAGTAGTAATTAAAGGTAAGCAAGATTGACGTACTAATATCAAGTAAAGTCAACTGCAGAAAAAAGAAAATTACCAGAGAGACATCTCATAATGATTAAAGGGTCAATCCTTCAAAAAGTACTAGCAGTACTAAACAGAGGTACCAAACAGATCTTTTTTATAAAATATAAAGCAAAAACTGAGAACTGACAGGAGAAATAGATAAATCCACAATTATAGTTGCAAACTCCAACACTTCTCTGTGAAAAAACTTCATTCTGATAGAACGAACAGAGGAGCTGGGGATTTGGCTCAGCAGCATAAGCACCTGCCTTACAAGTGTGCAGTCATAAGTTTGATCCCCAGTACCAAAAAAATAAAAATAAAAATAATTAAAAATTGAAAATGAACAGACCAAATGTCAGCAAGGATGTAGAAAAACTCAACATTATCAACTAATAGAACCTAATTGATACTTCTGTAACACTTGATCCAACAACAGCATATATATTCCAGTACACAGTAACCACTGAACATACCAAAATAAACTATATCTTCAATTATAAAATAAACCTCAAGAAATTTAAAAGAATTAAAATCACTGTAGGTAGAACATGGCAGATAGATAGCAGCAGCTTCGGAGGCTCTCTGAGAAACCACACTTGGAATCCAGGAATCGTGCTGTGCAGGAAGTCCTAGACAAGGGAAGATATTCTTTGCTGACCTGGAAACAAACTAAATTAAGAGAAACCAACTGGAAACGCAATCCCGGTGATACAGCAGGAACAGATAAGGTCTCAGCGCAGAAGCTGGACCCCGTGCCACTGGAAACTGCGATTTGAATTTCCTGCAGACGCTGCTCTTTCCCAGTTGGCATGGCAGGGAGAGAGGTGCAAAGGCTCTGAGAGTGGGAAGCATTGAATGGAGTTGGGAGCGGGACTGGCCGGGTGCCCTGCATCAACCTACGTGAGTGAACGGATCGGGGACCCTTCCATAGAGAAGGAGGCTTCAGCAGAGGACATACTCAGACCGGGCAGACTTCCCGGAACGAGATGCTGCAGTGACTTCAGTCACATATCCCCCTCACAAGCGGGATTGGTGGGGTGTGCTTGGCCTGTGTGACAGCACTGGCTGAGACCCAGTAGGCTAGCCCAACCCAGGTCCCAGCGTCTGGAGGTGCACCCTAGTGGTGAAGCCTTCGGTAGGTTGAACTGGAGGGGCAGCCCTGCATAGACTGCCAGGTCCATATGTCCCTGGTGCGCTACGGAGGGGGGGAACACCTAGCCGGCGCAATTCAAACAGACTGTGGCTGACAGGGAAGGAAACTGGGCCTCAAATACGCTTATATATAAGGAACAAAGAATATGGGAAGAGGGAGTAACAAGAAAGTGTCCTCGGCCCCCAATCCTGAGAAACAGGCAATAGCAAACATGGCACCAATAGACATAAAGCGCTATCTCCAGAGCCTCATGGATGAGTTCAGGAATGAAGTTATTAATAACCTGAAGCAAGACATAAGCAGTATAGTTAGAGAAATGCTAAGCACCACCCAAGAAAAAACAGATGGTGGAATGGAAGAACAGAAAAAAAAGAGAATTGTTTGATAGAGAAAATAGAGAAAACAGAATACGTGAAGCAGATACAAAGAGATTAACAGGAAACTAAAAACTCTATCAAAAACTGGCATAACAGCTTGAAAGAAACTAAGGATAGATTATCTGAACTGGAGGGCAGATTTGTAATATGGGAGCATGAAATGAAAAACTTCTTAATAATATAAAAAAAAAACCAAAACAAATAGCAACAATACAAAAGCTAGAAGATGATAAGAGGATCTATAACTTAAGAATTAAGAACATAAGAGAAGAAGTGGGGATACAAACAAATGGACTACAAAAGCTATTCACAGAAATAATCCAAGAGAATTTCCCTAATTTAGCAAATGGTAAAGATACTCAAATGTATGAGGCATACAGGACTCCAGCCACCTACAACCCAAACAGAGCAACACCCAGGCATATAATAATCAAAATTCCAGAAATCCAATATAAGAATACAATATTAAAAGCCTTCAGAGACAAGAAACACATCACTTACAAGGGAACACCCATCAGAATTACAGCAGACTTCTCGGCACAAACCATCAAATCACGAAAAGAGTGGGGGGAAAGAATTCAAGCTTTGAAAGATAATAACCTCCAGCCAACATTGATATATCCTGCACAACTGTCCCTAGAAATTGATGGAAAAACAAGGTGCTTCCAGGATAAAGAGGAACTAGGGGAATATGCAACCACCAATTCAACTCTACAGAGAATTCTGCAGGATAGTCTAAAAAAGGAAAATACCAAGATTCCAGAAATAGTGGCAGAGAGGCCACAATGAATGGAGCAGAAAATGAAATGAAGAAGACAAACTGACAATAAATGACAGAAAAAGAGCTCAGCAGAAATGAGGCAGAGAAGATCAGAAGGTAGGAACAGCTATTTTGGAGAAAACAAGACATCATAATAGCTAGTGCTGATTTAGTATCTTCTTGTTTTGAAGTCCCATCAAACTTGTATTCTTCTGTCTCCATCGGTCTTAAAAGGTTGTATATTATTGGATTTTATTATATATGATAATATAAGCAAAAACTTTTATAGACAAAGAGTTTATACAGAAACCATTGTTCATTTTCTTCTAATTGGTTCTAAATACCCTGTAATAATGTCATTCTCTTGAATGGTTTTATAGTGTCTTGATATGTTTGGTGCTACAGTATACAAAGTTATACTCAAAGATTTCAAGGAGTCACTATGGTAACTATTTTTATGTCAGGATGTCTTGCGGTGAAACACTGTTTTGCTTAAATGATTATGTTTTGATCTGCACTGTTCTGTTGTTATGCCCTCTTTTATCTCAATCCCCCTTTTTTTTAATTATTTACTTTTTTCTTTTTATTTTTTTTAAATAAGGGAAAATAAATAAAAAATAGCAGGATACACATTATAATAACCTACTTTGATTTCCTATTAACTTGATTTGAAATCCTGTATTGCCCTCACCATCTTGTTTTGACTGATTTTCCTCTATTCTGTTTTGCTTGATAGTGCCAAGTTCAAAAGTATAGGCATAACTGTGAAGACAATAAGAATCATTATGACGCCCATTCCAGTTGACTATTATTTTCTTTTAAAATCCGGTAATGTCTCCAATGCTTTGGTTTTATTCTTTACTGTTTTGTTCAATTTTATTATAACTGCCAATTCTTCTTAAAATAGCAAGAGGCAGTATGGTAACCATTGTTGATCACCTTATATTTTGTTTTTACATTATCTATTACGTCCATTCTTTTGATCTGAATGACTCTGTTCTGATATGTCGCATTTGGTTTTACTCTCTTCGAAAAAAGTAATAAGAACTGTGGGAGTAATAAAACCCAAAATGTGTAATTGTCATTGTACAAAAGAAAAGAAAAGAAAGTACTCTAAAGGTTATAACTGCATATATGTTTAAGTATACAAGATAGATAACCATATTACTGAGTGTTTTTTGGATCATTGAACAAAACTATTTGCACTCTTACTGTTTGAAAGTCCACTTTATAAGCTTCAATTTTGTAACTTGAACAACTATTTCTAAGATGAGAATATGTAATCTATTAACTAGTGATTTCTTACTGTTTATTTTTTAAATTTTGTATTACTTGTACCCTTTTTCTGTTTTTTTTTTTTTTTCTTTTTCTCCTTAAATAAAAAAAAAAATCACTGTGGGTTCTCTGACCACAATTAAATCAAAAACTGGGACTTGAAGACAGTCCCAGTATAGTTCAGAGTCCAAGATAAGTTACTACCTGTGAAGTCACTGTGGATAACAATTAAGCTTCCTAAGTCAGAAGATGGAAAAGGCAAGATTGAAGCTTTATGCAGTTTAGCAACTAAAAACAAGAAACAGTGAAATAAATGATCTAAAATGAAACATGCAATTCATGCTTGCTAATTTTGTGAAAAAGACTGTCTTTGAATTTCTGGTACCTATAGTGCTCTTACATGCTAAAAGAAAAACTATAGACAAATCTACCAATTTGAGCAAAGAACAGTCTGTGAACTGGGCAGCACTCAGAATGGAAAGTAGTTCAGAGAGCTCCACTGTGTAGCAAGGCCCACATGCTTTTATGGCTGCACATAGAAATAAAATGCAGAAATAATTTGATTGGTTACTGTGAGGCCTTTGCCTTGGTTGGACAAGGTCTGACCCACTGGGAGCCTGGGATTGGCTGAAGCTCTGCTATTTGTGTTTGGCTGAAACTCACTGATTTGTTACAAAAATACATTCCTATTTCAATTATAAGATACATTCTTAAAAAGAAAAAAACTACATTGTAAAAAGTGTTGGTGATTTAGTTTGGTGGCCTTGCAAGCATGAGGTTATGAGTTTGATCCCTGATACAAAAAAAGAAGTGCTCTTTGTGAGTCAAGTTATATACTGTGATTATATTTCCTTCTCTAAGTTTTGCACAACAGAGTGACTCTTGTTAATAAATAGTTACTTCAAATAACTACAAGTTTTTATTTCTTTTTTGGTTCCGGGGATCAAACTCATGACCTCATGCTTGCCAGAGCAGGTGCTTACGCCGCTAAGCTAAATCCCCAACTAGATTTTGAATGCTTCACTACAAAGAAATGATAAATGTTTGAAATGAAATGTTAAGTACTCCAATTTGACCTCTACACATTGCTTACAGATTAACCACATAGCACACCATAAATTTGTACAAGTATGTGTCTATGAAAATAAATAAAAAGATGTAAATTGAATAATAACAAAAATTTCCAAACATTTGAACATCCAACAAT